GTTTGTGCCAAAAAGTCTGATCCGCAGGAACTTTATGCCTGTAAAGAGAAGCTGCTGTAACCTGCTGAAACGTACGGATAGGTATCCGTTTCAAATTTTTCAAATTTTCAAATTGCTCGTCGCAAGTACACTGTATGTCTTAGAAATGATCTCTTCTATGAGAATGTTGGGATTTATTACCATCTAGTGTCCTTGAGTGTAGGCGCGAAGGAAGAGGTTCTGAAATTCAAGGCTGACGGTATACAGGCATGCTTTCATCGCTCTTGACATAAAACGTGAATATGTTCAGTCCGTTTTTCCTTCAATTGCAGCAACGATCACGCGGCCAGGCGTAACACAGAATACGCTTGAAAAATTAGTTCTTCAGTCAAATCTATTGTGATTTATGACAGTATGAAAGTCCGAATTTGCGAGCTGTCGATGCTGCGGTAAAGTGATGGCAAACTGGACGACCGGATCGCGACTTGATCGCATCGCGATGCAAGCTGGACATTTTGGAACTCTCACAAATACACCTACCAAGCCACTGACATCAGCGGCTTGAAGAAGGATGACAGTTTAACTTGTCTGGCAACCAGATGCGAGGCCGTAGTTGCAATTCTGCTGCCTCCCTGAGCTGAGAACGCTGTCCATTGCATAGACGAGCGATGTATTCATTGCTTGCTGAGTCACAACGAGGCACTTTTAGACGAACTTGGTCACCGTATAGGTCCCTGCCAACGTTGCAGTGAATGCGAAGAAGGACCACCTCTCATCTGTTCTCGTGCGGTTCTTGGTTCATGTTCGCAACATCAGGTATCGATCGTCGCCGGTGACGTCAGTGCCGACCATGACAGCTGGCCCCTTGTACCAAGTCGACACCCATAGCAGCAATGTTAGCAATAATGACGGCCACCTATTAGACGCTTGCGCCACTTACTGCCTACTCATCGCCGAGACGTGTTTCCACATCGTCGCAACCATCAGCAAACGTGGAAGACGTCAGAGGGTTACTTCAGAAGCGAGGTCAATCATGTGCTGAGTAGAGACAATTGACAGCCATCCAAGACGTTCGAACGAAGCATGAGGTGCGATTCGAAACGTGGTGCGGACTTCGCAATTGACCATTTTCTCGTGGTCATGAACCTCTGCTTTCGTTTGACAACAGGTGGAGGAACATTCTGGAAAGCGGAAACCCCTCGGTTTCACACGATAAGTTAAGGGATCCCGTCACTCGCGATCCATTCCAGATGAAAATCAACAACAAATTCGCTGCTCTGAAAGACGTTGCCATCTCCCAAGACCTGAAACTGCTTTATAACCGCCTAAAAGAAGGCATTATCGACGGCTGTCAAGGCTATCGATTTTACCGGGAGGAGCCCTAAATAACGACTGAAACATTTAGTCTTTACCAGAAAATAAATGCGGCAAAGCAGGTGAAGAGATAAAGAAAAGAGAGTATCGCTTTCTAGTAAAAGAGGTCAACAGGAGTTACCACAGTGACGGACAACGATGGCTGGACCATGAAACGCTGAAATTCGGAAAATGTGTAAGCGAAAGGGGGCTGGAAGACCCTGTATAGCCAGGTGAATACCATCGCCGAAAGTTGCAAATAAAAGCTTACCATCTGCTTGTTACACAGCAAGTTCCAATGAGCCGACGGAAACAATGGACCGAGCACTTCGCAGAGCTCCTCAATAGGACCCGTCCTCCGAAAAATCTGAAACCGAAAGTGGAAGTTGGAAAAATTTTGGATGTTGACTGCGCTCCATCATCCATCGAAGATATCCAAGAGGCGAGAGGAGATTTTGGTGGAAATCCTGCAATTCAAAGCTGAAAACCGTCACCGCCGAATCCCCCTGGCCTTTGACTACATCTGGCAAAAGTCGATGAACCTCGAAGACTGGAAGAAAGACGTGATAATCTCAGCCTTCATGAAGTGGGTTCGCGCCAAACGAACTATCGAAAAAATCATTTTCTTGCAAGTGTTGAGGAATAGCTTCATGTGAATCATTCTTGAACGACTAAGGGAATCCATCGATCGTTTTCTGTGAACTAACCAAACAGACGTTCGAAGTGGCCCGTTCATGCGCGAACAACGTCTTTCTGCCAATGTGAATCATTTTGCAGTTCCGGAGGTTCCAAATTCCCTGGCCTCACGACTTTTCTAGACTTCAAGCAGTTTTCTATTCAGTTCATCGCAAGACAGTGCGGCGTGTTATTGGTCAATGCGGGATTCTGCGGGTGATAGTAAACCCGATAGAATTCTTTAGGAGGGCTAAATACACCATGCAAGCTGAGAGGCCAATGTTGGACTAGTTCAACAATGCTAGTGGAATTCGTCAAGACGAGGTGCTCCCTCCTTTGTTATTCCACATCGATGCGAAAGTGCGTCTTGGCAAATAGTAACGATGAATATATGTATGTATATGTCACCGTGTTTTCAAAGTCGTGTTGCACACTGTCAGTGAGTGTCAGTAGGCCAATTACGGAGTCATTCAGCAGCACGACGGCATCTGTCTATTTATATACATATATTGAAAATCGTTAATTATTTCATGTTATATATTGAGTTTTCGGTTCCCAAAAGAGGTTCCCAAATATATATATAATTTCTAATGGGTTAAATATCATGAAACTGCGCTGTTCTGCTGTTTAATCTTTATTAACCACAGATGTACTAACACGTGCTGTACTCAAAAAGTCAGT